AAAAACAGAAAACCATGGGTTCCTTTCCTCCCACTACATGATTACAGACTGCGCTCAGTTAGTCCTTTACATCACGTCCTTAAAATTGGAGGCTTGGGGTTGTAATGTGAAGGAGTTCAAGGAATGTGAATATTTTTACAAAACTTTGTATGGTGTCAAAGATTTTATTTTATTTTTTTGTATTTCTAATCAATGTGAAGATAAGGACTAAGCATCCTGACATAAGATATTTCCATGGCCATTCAGATGTTTGAAAGGTTAATCTCCATTGTAAATGTTCATGTTTAAATGTGTCATTAAGTTTGAACTTAAATGGCTAAAACTATTTTGGCAGCAACGGTTCCCTTCTTCCAGAATGCTGCTGCAAGCTTGGCACCGCTGGTCTTTGAAGTTTTCTTCTCTTCTTTATTGAAGAAAGACATTTTTTGATCTGAAGCATCAGCACATTTTCATTTTCAGGTCCTTCTGGGGCTGCTTTACAGCACTATGATCCTAACTGGGTCATTCCAGGACTTTTACAGACTCTCCTGTGTTCTTTTGCCAGACGTTTTAAGGAACTCTCAAAAGGTTTTCCATCAACCCCCCCCCCCACTCTATTTTCTTCTCTCCCCTTTGCATCCCAGTTCAATTACCTAATTTACAAAAAAAAAAAATATTCCATTGCATTATGCGATGATATTAAGGGGTTACTATGAAGGGCCTTATTTTCTGAACACAAGTGGTTGGGAAGTCTGTGCACTTAGTGGCTCATTTTCTTCATTTGCGAAGAGGATTTTGCTTTTTTTCCGATGTTCCCAGAAGAGCCTTTTGGCACCTGAGTGGCTTTGTGGATTTTATTTTTTGAAGGGGAATAGCTTCTGTCTTGCAGATAAGTGCAGTAAATGCAGTATTGCAAATGGCTGCCGATATAAATCTACTGAGCCGCCAACTAGGCTGTTTTTCAGATTGATTATTTCTCTTTTTCTATTTTTACTTCAAAAAGTAAGTTCGACGTAGCATGCATTTAAATTTGAAGTTTTGGGTTTGGCTAAGCAGTCTGAGGATGAGTAAAGCTCAGGTGTTAAATATTACATTGCAATTGCACATGACATAGGCAGGAAACATCAAACTAAGTGGTCAAAATTTACTTTGGTCTGTAATTTTTCTCTTCCTTTTCACAATTATAACAGTGAAGCGCTGCTAAAATTGGGATTCCTTTATGATCCATGAAAGCCAATTTATAAAAGCATCCTCTCTCACCCCAAACAGGACATTTTTAGTAACCTTTGTAGCCATCCTTAACCTGTTGGACAACTTTCTGCAGCTGTGATGTCGGTACTCTTGGATATTTTTCCAACCCTTTTTTCCACTTGCATGTAAATCAGTGTTTCTCAACCCTGGTCCTCACCGCCCCCCCCC